AAAGCTGCACTTAGCAGCAGCAGCAGCTCCCACGGGAGCTCATCTCACCACCTTCGCCTCCACCAAGGGAAAAACATAGGAGTCATGCACACAGGGCAAAGTATCTTACAGCCACTTGTGCTTTTGTGTGATCTTATTTCCATTCCAATTTCCTTTTTGCTGCAGTCGCCTGTGAATTTGTCCCTCAGGTACATGCAGATATCTCTGTATAACAAGGCTTTGAGAACTACAGCAATACTCTGCAAATCTGGGGAGAGCCAAAGCTGTTGGGTTTTCCCTCGAATTCTGTAGTTTCACTGCCAATTTCTCCTTCTGCCTCCTGGGTATGGCAGGTTGCAGCTGGCACCGTTGCTCTGGGGTGGCAGGCAGAGTCACGGAAGAGCTTGTCCGATCCCACTGCGACTGGGCACAGCCTCTGCTCTCACTTGGTCCCAGGCAAACCAGACAAATATACTTCGATTTGACCCAGGCCGTGAGACTGGTGTGTTTAACATACCTTCTTTTATTTGGATCTTGGTCTTTTTTTGACTCTTTTAGTGGCTGCTGTCTGAGCCTCCTTTAATGCTCGAGATACCCTAGTGGATCTGAGGGACTAATAAAGCACTGCTTTAAAAGCTTTGCCTGCCATCTCCATCTTCGTCCTTTTTGCCCTCTGGAGCATCTGTATGCTGCTATGTGATTCCATTTTTCCATAATAATAAGACCTGTTCTAGCATTGATCCATAAGAGCTTGACATGGGTAATTGCGATCAAATATGCTGGGAAATATAAAACTAAATTCCCTAGCTATTGAAAGAGAAATGGACATATGCCTAAATGCAATCGTTCCCACCACTTTTCAGTATCAGGAAAACAAAATGGAAAGGGAAGTAAAACCAAAAGGAGAAAAAGAAGGGGAACACTCTAGGCTCACGACTCTGGCATTCATGAAGTGTGTATCTCACACAGTTTCATAGCACACTTTTTCCTCCTCTGTTTTGTTTTTAAAGCCAGTTCTCGCTTCTGAAGCCAGCAAATTGAAAAAGCAAAACAAAATCCTGTGCCCAGAATAGGGAAGACTTTGAGGTACTCACTCACCAAAGCACTTGGAAATATTGCTAACAGCTGCTGCGTTTACATCACCCCGCTCCACTTACTCAAGCCAGTCTTTCTATAGTGTGACAACAACCTGCAGTTCAGCACCAGCCCGAGTCCTTTCGCACTTCCTTACCTGTATCGTCATATCAGAAAGTTCCTTGAACAAATAAATGGAGCCTTAAACAAAGAAGTCATTCATCTCCAAATTAAAATAATCATGTAATCCTTCAACCCACCAAGTTACCTTTCATCTTTCCATTTTTTTAGATTTATTTTACTAACTTCAGCAAGTGGCTGCAATAAAGTGTCACATTAAGGAATTCATATTCATTAGCGTTCAGGTCTTTGTTCTTTTAATAGTGTTGGAAAGAACCTACAAAGAGGCTGTATTAGGCTGCTGTCCAATCTGGGTGTTTGATCTCTTTCTGACTTCAAAAGTCATCAGAGAAAAAAATCAACGCCAAGAACAGTTCTTCTGAATGTCAGATGGGGCGGATACGATTTCCGAGCCTGCCAAGTGTTAATTGGTGTCTGCCCCGACCACGGGTACAAATGAGGTTCAGAGTCAGTTAACACCCAGCCATGAATCTCTGCTATTGGCAAAGCAAGCCGGGATATTAAAGAGCAGGAGAAAGTGCCACTATTGCAAGGGCAGCAGCCCACAGAGCATTGTTTCAGAGATGGCCTCCTTGGGAGATGTTGTGCTGGGAAGCAGGCACGGCCAGCGGGGCACATTTTTTAGCCTTTACAGCAGCTGGGTGGAAGGAGGGCACATATGATGTGACTTAAGAAAAACAATTACCAACGCTAATGGCTCCTCCAGAACATTTATGAGGGCAGAGAGTGCTCCCTGTCCACGCATCATGCTTTATAAATCATGCTTTTTGGGTCCTAGCCACCAGAGTGGGCTCCACAGACCTCTCTGAGGGAATAACTGCCCTAACTGCTGAAAATGCCGAGTTGCAGGTTACACCACACTGGCACAAGCTGCCCATCAGGAGTAATCTCAGGCGCCAGCAATGGTTAACTTTCACCATGCATCTGCACATCAACCCACCCCGCTGCAAATACTCTTGTCACTGCACAACAGCCATTTGATTTGATGCTAAGAAGCAAAAGTGAAAAAAAAACAAGTCGATAAGTTCTTGAGGAAAGGCACCTGATTCATATTGCAGTTGTCAGCGAGCTGGCTCAGCAGACCTAAGCACTCTTTACACTTTTGGGGATCTTAATAGTGAAAGAAAACAGCCTAAGGAAAAAGAGAATAGGGGAAATCTTCTATGCTAATTATCCCGTCTGATGTTTGTGGACACTTTTCTGCAATGCTGATTAAATCTAAACTTGGGTTAGACGGGGAGGTAACTCTTTAAGCTTCATCCCCTGAGAAATCAGTCATCAGCACTGGATGACAACCACTTTGCTACTTAGTCATGACAGTCTAACTTAGCCTAATGCAAATTGGCAACAGTTTCTTCTGCGCGTGGCAGGGGAAAACCGAGGAGAATTCAGATAGGGGAATTACCGTCATTAACAATCAATTTTTCTCTTAACAGCAGCGGTGGATTTATGATTTCAGACGCCCCCCTGTAACTCAGAGACCTCCCTCCCGTGGGCAATGGGTTTGAAGCTGTTTTCAGCTAGAGCGAGAGCTGCTGCTATGCACAGGGAAAGTCCCTGCTGTGGTGGGTGCACATCTGCCCGGAAGGCCAGGCCCACTCCATGGCCATCATTTAAACGCCATAAGCAAGTTTGAAAAATATACTCAGAACGGGTTCTTAGGCAGGCACACATGCAGGCACGGGAGGGAAATAAAACCTGGCAAAATAAAAATTAAAAAGTCTTGGTAATGGAAACATCTTTCTTTAAAAATAAGAGGAAGGAAAACACGTGCCCCACCAGGTCTGTGTCACTTGGCCGCCAGCTACAGTTATAACGTCCGGAAGGAGCGAGGAGCTGAAA